AGTACCTATATATGTAATATCAAAGCAATTGCACTTGTGGTTTTTAACAAGAAGTCGAAAATATCAGTTTTTACCAAAAATGACAAAAATATTCACCAAAATTAGAGAATTAAAGATATCATTACAAAATGAACAAATCTGAGAGAGGTCCACATGTAGTACCTATATATGTAATATCAAAGCAATTGCACTTGCGGTTTTTAACAAGAAGTCGAAAATATCAGTTTTTACCAAAAATGACAAAAATATTCACCAAAATTAGAGAATTGAAGATATCATCACGAAATGAACAAATCTGAGAGAGGTCCACATGTAGTACCTATATATGTAATATCAAAGCAATTGGACTTGCGGTTTTTAACAAGAAGTTGAAAATATCACTGTTTACCAAAAATGACAAAAATATTCACCAAAATTAGAGAATTGAAGATATCATCATAAAATGAACAAATCTGAGAGAGGTCTACCCAAGGTACATATACACCAAGTATCAAAGCATTTAGGCTTGTAGTTTTCAAGAAGAAGTCGAAAAAGTAAAACATTGACACGGACGACGGATGACGACGACGACGGACGACGACGACGACGACGACGGACGACGACGAACAATCACTCATATGATAAGCTCCGCTCGACAAAGTCGACAGCGGAGCTAAAAATACTTGATTAATGATATATACCTTGACCACAACTAAATATCCATGCAATGACAGACAGAAGCAGTATTGATTCATGGCACTTTTGCCACTAGAGGGTGCTATTCAGCAATTCTAAATTTATTTCGATTAAAGGAAAAGTAAACAGAGCTCACATTCATGATTATGTAGTTGCCATGGACGAGTATGCATAAGTTAAGTAGTTTTTTTTATTATTGTTTCACACATTGCGTGAACGAGAGCCTTGTGAACAAATGTGTGTGAAGTTAGATAGGGAGTTTCCATATAGAGGTGCATGAGAATCATAAATCATAAAAAAAGACAAACTAAAACACTAACATTAAAATACACTGAAATTCAACAAAAGAAAAGAAATAAAAAATTAGAAAATCACTGAAAAATTGCAGCAAGTAATAAGTAATACGACTTCAGTCCTGAGTTATTCAACATTCGTGAGCATTAAATGAATGTCCAGGAATGTCCATGCTGTCGAATGGGCTTTGGCTTATTTGTAGCCACTGTTGATCAAAAACCATTAAGGAAATCATTAATGGATATTTGACTAATTAAAGGAGCTGCTACAGCTAGCCCCTTTGTTTATTAGTCACGACAATTACTACCACTATTTGTTCAAGTTAGATATTTGTCTAAAGTAGACAAAGTGGGTTTTAGTCTAAACCTAAGAAGACGCAAACCACAGTCATCCCAAGCCTAATCCTACTTCACAGTGTGAATTAAGTGCTGTCACACACTAGTGAAAAAACTGGGTAGGCATGAGATATGTTATTCTACAGAAATGCCTACACACTGAGTGATCTCAAAGTGCCAATTAAGGAAGTAAATAGACCTCTACCATTTACAATGCATACAACTCAACATAGCTAAGCTAAGGGGCTCCTGGGTAAGGTAGGCTCCCTATAGGTGTCCCGTTAAATCCTTAAACCCAACTTAACATAAAGTCCAGTAGCAAGTCACTGTGTCTGTGAGTTTGTCATCCTCTGACCCACAATGATCGTATCTCGTCTGTGAGGAGGGGTCTCGCAGCTGATGAGAAATGAATGCTGCACCATCAGGATTTATAGCTATCTGCAAATTATAGCTCTCAGATTATGCTTTCTGGCACTCCTCCACATTGAGTATGAAAAGCTGATCATCTGCTGAATATATCTGGAAAGTGTAGTACAACTTGCTGGAGGCTATGGCTACCCATAAAACAAGAGCTCATACTCGCTGCATCTTTGCCTGAAGACAAGCTGTCAAGAAATAGTATATTTCATGACTAATCAGCATGTGATGCAGCATACTGCAACCCATAGGACGCCTGCTGAAGAGACTGCAACACTATACGAAAAGGCCCAACATGGTGTTGCCAGCCTTGGCATCACCACATAGTGTGTGAGATACAGCCCCTTGAGCAGTGTTTTAATGAATTCATATCCTCTCCCACCCAAACTGATAGACAACATGGTGTTGATTGCAGACTTCAGGTTCCCTATTGTGGATGGGGCCTTCTATCCATATTTGCTGTATGGTAAGGAAATTCTACCAGCTGGGACATAAGGGGTGAGAAAGGATGTGTCTGGTGTTGTACGGTAGTACCAGCGGTGGCAGTGGTAAAACCCAATGGTGCTATCTTGGAGGACGTGGAACATAGTGTTTACCAGTCCCTCTGAAAAACCTTGTGAACATTGTGTTCCAGGTTACAACAATGTGTGAAAATAGACTGGCACTGTCACACCTGATTGATCCAACTCCAGGTTGACAGATGATGAAGCTATAATGCCGATGACTGAAATAAATGTGGCTTCTTCAAATCGTCCAAGTCCACTCTAATCTTGATTAAACAGTTAATTAATGGAAACGGCATGGAAACATTAACCATTATGTCAGAGACAACACCTGGAACTACGATCATCATTGTATCAGAAGCCCAATTAACACAAATAACACAACAGGAGAAATGCTCACACTCAAGATCACAGGAATAACACACAAGGTGCAGGTCATAATTACACAGATCGACATGGAATCTTCAGTGATTTCATTGGAGCTTTCCAACTTTTCTCCCGCCAAAACAGGTTTGTCAGCCATCTTGAAATTGACAGCTGACTGATGTTGGCAGGTAAGAAACTTCTTACTGAATAGGTGAATGCAGACACAGCTATATACAGCTCCATAACAGCAAAATTAATGACACACTAATGACTGAACTGTCTAGCAGATCCCCAATTTCCCGATTTCGTCTTCAGCTGGAAAAATTAGAAAACTGAAAGTAATACCCATAATCCATGCTGTCCACTTTGTGAGTGACACCAATATTTTTAATTCCGAGGGTCAGTTGGCTGGCTAAGACCCACTTTGTCTAACTTAGACAATTATCTAACTTAAACAAATAGTGGTAGTGATTAGTGTGACGCTATAAACTATGTTTGGAAATATAACTGTTGT